ACTCACACCTTGAAATGTTTTGTTTAAGGAACCTGTTTTGACATCAGAAAGCCAAACTCATCAAATTTCACCCAGTTAATTTTCCATTGAAGGACCAATCATTTTGAATATCTTTCACATTTTTGGCACATATTATTATCTATATGCTCCATCTTGATGGGCAGAGTGAGCAAATTAACTTTCTTTATGTTCTTTCCTATTGTACATGTGTCTCTGCAGCCTCTCTCTCAGGTCACTTCTGGCATCCTCTCGCCTCTGTGATTTTCCCCTTATCTTTCATAGATATAATAGTCTCCCCCAAGCCTGAGAAATGAGAATTATCGCAAACATGAGTTGGCCACGAATTTTGTAATCACAAATTGGAAAGATCAAAGAAATGGAATAACAATTTACAGTCTCAATTCTAAGATATTAAAAAGTGGCCTAATTAGTGTTTGTTTTCCTTGTTCATTTTTCCTGTTCTTTAGTACGACATTATTGTTTTTCCAGGGAGCTAAGGATGAGTTCACACTTGATCTTGTCGAACAATGTTCATTTCACAAGCAACAAGTAATGCATCTTGCAATGACCTCTAGGTAAGACCACTTCCATACTTGTGTTGAACAAACAACAATTGCAGAATAAGAACACAAGAAGATCACACACTCAAAACCTAGCAAAGGCTGAGAGAGGATCTGGAGAGAATTTGAAACACCAATATCTGGATATTTTTTATCAAAAGACAACCAAGCATCCAGAAATCTCGATATGAGGTTTTAAACCGAAAACTAGAAACAAAAGACAAGAGTCCAAAGTACTCTTGCAGAGATAAATAAATGGACATAACTAAACTTTAATGAAAGCAACAGAATAAAAGCAGTAGAATTAAATTATCCCCTCGTATGCAAAGTGTAAAGGCTGATCATCTACTGCATCACATACAAAACTAATATTTCTGCTGAAATAACCTCGCACTTGCTTAATAACTTGCATTTCACAATGCGTTGTCTATAAGGCAGCCAATTGTACGTCTGGTCACTAGTGAATGCAATACATATCAGCTCACCCCCTTCAAATGCTACCCTTATCTGATACATATATTTTCTTGAAATTCTTCGGTATCTGCAAATGGGAATGTTTTCCTTCTCCCAATTTACAATTGTATTAATGAAGAGACATGTGCGATAGCACTGAAACTATGTTCGAGATGTCCAGAAGTGATGACTTGAATCCTTAACGATTCGAGCTAAATCATAAATTAAAACTAAAGAATGTTCAACACAATCACATAATTATTAAAGCACTTGCCAAAATTCAAATAATGTAATGAGTTTAATAAATTAACTTGAAAAGAGAAATATCAAAATATTTAAAATCAAATGAAATAATAATATTTTGACAACGTAATAATTTTATTATTGAAACTTTTCCCACCATAAGCCATCTTCGTGTTGATTGCTTCGAATCGTCAATTATCTGAAAAGTAGAGATAATAGGGTGAGAATAATTCTCAATAAGCGTGCGTGGATAATGAATTCATATATGTAATTCTACGAAAAATTCGTAACTTGCATAGTGAGACACAAAAATTAGACCGAACTTATACAGTACTAAATTCTTGTGTGTAGCACTACTAAACTCCGGTCCATTCTTAATAAAACATACGTAACATGGACCAAACATAATATAACCGTAGAAATATTATATACATAAACATTAGTCACCATAAACATAAAGCACAACTTACCTTTTTACTAGACAATTCAAGATGGGGGTAAATAGTGTGCAAATAGTTGTTGAGTGGTAGTTTAGTATTGGGTTTGTCTCCTATTTATACTATATATTTTTGACCATGTGTAGAAAAGTGAAAGGAAATGGCAAAATGTTAGACATGGTCAATGCATAAATGGTGTATCGTCATGAAAATGGTCAAATCAATACCTTTAATCATGTGGTCAAATCAATTCACTTAGCTTAAAACTTGGTGTAAATAATGTATGTGGTCAAATCATTTTCTTTTATTTACGTGGTCAAATCAATTACATTGGCTTGAATGTAGTGTGTATAATGTATATGGTTAATAAATCATTTTTAATCATGACCAGTTGACATATTTACATATATTTTACGCCTGATTTTATTTAACTTCCAAAATAACTTTCTACTTAGGCCCTCAAACTATTGGCCAATAACTAATAAGGTCATTAAATTAGGCCAATAATCAATAAGGTCATTAAACTTTAATAATAGCGCACTTAAATTTGGGACGTTACATGAGGAGCGTTGTGGTTTGTCATTTCAATGATCCACAAATGTCTGAGAAATAAACAAATAGAAAATTTTGATGAAGTACTTAATAGAGTAGGAAAAAAACAAAAACTTGATCTGGATAGTCATTAGTTCACTAAAAGCATAGAAATTTGTGATAATGAAGTCTCAATTATATATTTTTGTATTTTCTAGGGATGACAACGTGGTTACTCGAGCTATTGAGCTAAATGAGCAGCTTGAAAGAATTTTACAAAGACACGATGCCCTCATTTCTCGTAGGACTACGCTCATATCAACTCACATTGACCATGAACAGGCAGGGGAAGAGGAAGAGGCTGAACAACTTCTCCGAAGGTTGATATATTGCAATACATTAAGGGGGGATTTGAGGTTATTACGTGGGGAAAATATTTCTCTGAACCGAAGTGTAAAGCTAGCCAGTTTTCTCTCAAAACTTTGCAAATGGCTTCTGCTTCATATCTCTTCATCATCAATATCATTAGCATTTGAATTTGAGTTAAATCTTCTAGCTTATACTCACACTAATTGTTGGGCAGGATAAGAAAAGGAAAAGCTTGTCTACAAGCCGAGGAAGAAGACAGCCAAAGAGATTTGCCATTGAGATTGAAGAGACCTTCTGTTCCTGGGGAAATGCTTCATCATCCCCTCATACGGCCACTAACTGTGGAACTGCCAAATCGAGAACCTGTCCAGCCACCGACTATGGAGCCAATGCAAGAAACTGCACAGCCACCTACTGTGGAGCAAAAGCAAGAAGCCAATGTGGGAAGACCATTGGTTGCACTACCACCACCCCCTGCTAGACCTGTTGAGCGAGAGAGATTCTTCCGTGAGAACAAGGTTGACGGTTCTGCTCTTAATGGCCACATGAGCTGCCTCACGTTACACAGTCGTAATGTCAGCACTTCTCTAAACACAAGTATTGATTACAGTGACTGAGCAAAGAGTTTTTTCGTTTTTTCGACAAGCATTTTCTGCAGTGCTTTTAAAATGTTGGATGGCAGATAGCAGAGAGGATTTACAGCTCAATCCTTGAGATAATAGGTGTGATTTAGAAGGGTACATGGTGTTTTTATTATTATCAGAATCTTGAGTGCTGATATGAACTTGTATTTGTAAGCTGACAAGGATTTTATTCGAACTACAGGTTTATGATAAATTGCTGAATTCAAATTTTCATTAAAGGCTGTTGGGTAAAATATTCTTGATGTTCTGGTGGTTATGTTTTTGATGAGGTTAGTCTAATTCGAGCATATAACCTTTTTTAATCACACTCTTTTATTTATTTATTTATTTTTAAAGTCACTTTTTACAAAATCAATTTTCAAAAATATACGTCAAGCAGGCCCGTAATTATCTCTGGGAGTCGCTATTTTCATCCACCATTTTTCTATTTCTATCCACTTTTAAAAAATTATCCATATCACATTTTTAACTTTATGCGAATTTATTTAAATAGACAAAAATAAAATCAAATAACATCTATTACTCTAAATCCATCCACTAAATTTCCAGCATTAAAGATTAACTCTACCACTAAGTAAAGAAGATCTAATCCCATCACCTTCAGAAGTAAAAATTTTCTTTTCCACCTCAAATCGCCAAGAATAAATTCAATTCCTGACCTTGTAAATAGCCCAGAAAATCAACTAAAGCAAACATAAATATTCGCAACAACATCAATAGTTTTAAGTGATTTTCACAGAATTCAAATGAACTCACCAAATAAGAGAACAAATACTTCAACTTTCAACTAAAATTCACACGAGCAATCAAGAAAACACAACAAAAGTTAGAGAAGTCACAGGCGAAAAGTAGGCATAGATCACGGGCGAAAAGTATGCATTGACTGAACAAGAACTGGAAAAATTAGTAGGATGATAAACAAAAAATAAACAGACAAAAGGCGAAAAAGAAAGTTCAATCTTTAAGTTATCATATTTCCAAGCAAAATTCTACTAGGGCCTCGTTTAAAAATGAGAATGAAAAATATAGTCGTTACGAGCCCCACACAAGAGATAAAAATTCAAATTTGATGGTTTGATGTGATGGATAACGGTCATATTTTTCATTTTAATAAGGAAAGAATGTGAAACAAACGGGGGCTACATATCATACTCAGATTTATTGCTTATATAAATCTACTACATAACTTGACAAACATAAAAAGAAGGCATATTAATGGAGAGGGACATATAAAATAAAATCGTAGAATGAGGATTTGGGCCGCGAGAGCCTCTAGTGCAATTTGTAAAATTGTAGGCCCCTGGATGCAATTTCAGATTGAGGTTTAGTTTACAAATGGTGATTATTGTTGGTAGAAGTTGAGGTGGAGGTGGAGGTGGAGGGGAAGGTGGTGGTCGCGACGACGGTGGTGTAGTGAGATGAAGAGTGTTTATAACCAATTATTTAGGTAGTTGTGAATAATAAAATAGATATTTATGACCGATAAATAATGTGGTATGATTGCGATTAAATTTGTAATTATGACTCGTAATATGCATTTTGGTAACTGTGATCATAATTGTGTGTCATCATGACCTGACATGTTATTAGGTGATCACATATGTGAACACCTGAATTTTGAAACTTTTTCATAAGTTTTTTTATTTTATTTTTGAAAGTGTAACTTGAAACCTAATTATGTATTCTTCCCTTAATTTTTTGTTTCTGTCTTGGGCTAATTCAACACGGGCTGGCTTCAATTTGTAGACGGGCTACAATAGAAAAGAAAATCTGGACTGAACTTGGATCTCGTCTGGGGCTGGCACTGACTGTGGCACTGTCCAGTACAGGCCCAGATCCGCCACTAGGTCAAATAATGTGAAGAGGGCTGCGATACAAAGAAGAAAAATTTATATGTCTTGATGAGAACTCGTCATATTCCTGAATTGGTCCCCTATTAAAATATCAATTTAGTAAAACCCTGATCCTCATTAAAACCTCAATTTCCAGAAATTCCGTCAAGATCTTCTATGCTTCAACCTCTACTCCACGCTTACAATCAATTTGATAGTAAGAAATACTTTGATTCGTTTTTATCTCCATTTTCCGTTTCATTTCACCCGCTGTCTGGATTAGTATTATTGTTCATGTGAATGTTTAAGTTTTTTGTTCAAATTCCCAAATTCTTGTACTCTATAGTAGTTAAATGCATCGAACCTTGAAATTTTTGAGCCACAGAAGACTCAGAAGCAGCAGTACCACAGTTTTTTCGAAAACAAACCAACATCCCATATTTCCTATTCCTCAGTTTAATAACAATCTCAGCTGTAAAAACAGTAATGTGTTTGTTTTGTTTAGAGCATTATTTACGCATAGCAGTTCTACTACATATTCTAGTCGAATGCCTGATCCGAATGACCCGGCCACCTTAATGAAGGAGGATGGAGTTGCAGTTTGTTCCCAAATGTGGATTGAAAATTTCCGAGAACCCGAGAAGACTGTTACTAATTTGACCAATTATTTGAGAAGATTTGAGTTGTGGGTACTGGCTTACCAGAAAGTATGTGCTGACGAAACAGGTGCTTACATGCCTCGCAGTGCCATCACGCGCTCTGCCCTTGAGGACTTGCTGGGGTTGCGCAATGCAGTTCTTGATGATAGGTTTAAGTGGGGATCTAGGTTACAGTTTTTCATTAGGTCTCCCAAAGACAAGACAGATTACGACTCCTTGTCCAAGAGGAAAATTAGAGCGATTTTGACGACGACTCAGCCAGCTGCATTTCAGGACAGAATTGTTCAGGAGGTATTGTTTATGATTTTGGAGCCTGTTTACGAGGCGAGGTTTTCACAGAGGTCTTTTGCATTTAGGCCAGGGAGGAATGCCCATACAGTGCTGAGGGCCATTAGGAGGAGTTTTGCAGGCTACTTGTGGTATATTAAGGGTGATTTGAGTGCCATGTTGGATGGAATGAAGGTTGGGATGGTTATAAGTTCTCTGATGAGGGATGTTAGGGATAAGAAGGTGATTGATTTGATAAAGGCGGCACTGACGACGCCGGTTATCACGAGTAAGGTTGATGACGGAGAGAAGAAAAAGAAGAAGAAAAGAAAGTATCAGAAGAAAAGAGTTTTGGCAGAAGATGAGCCAAAGCCTGATCCGTATTGGCTAGAGAGCTTTTTCGGGTTTGCACCTGAGGAGGCTGAGATTCTTCCTTCATGGGGTCATTGTGGAATCCTTAGCCCTCTTTTGGCTAACATATGCCTTGATGAATTGGACCGCTGGATGGAAGATAAAATTAAGGAATTCTATCGGCCTTCGAAGAATGATGTGATATGGAACAGTTCTGATGGGGATGCAGAACAAGGAAATACATCTTGGCCGGAATTTGTTCCTACTAGTGGCCCAGATAAGACCAGGAAGATTGATTATATCCGTTACGGTGGTCATGTTTTGATTGGAGTTAGGGGACCAAGGGCAGATGCAGCAACTCTGAGAAAGCAGTTGATAGAATTCTGTGACCAGAAGTATATGTTAAAACTTGATAACGAAAGCCTTCCCATTGAACACATAACTAAGGGCATTATGTTTCTAGACCATGTATTGTGCCGTAGAGTAGTGTATCCTACTCTGCGGTATACTGCTACTGGTGGAAAGATCATTAGTGAAAAGGGCGTGGGCACATTGCTGTCAGTCACGGCTAGCTTGAAACAATGCATCAAACAGTTTCGAAAGTTGAGCTTTCTAAAGGGAGATAGGGATCCAGATCCACAACCTTGTTTTAGAATGTTCCATGCTACCCAAGCTCATACGAATTCTCAAATGAATAAGTTCTTGTCAGTAATGGTTGAGTGGTATCGATATGCTGACAACAGGAAGAAAATCGTTAACTTCTGTTCCTACATCATAAGAGGTTCACTTGCGAAGCTGTATGCCGCAAAGTACAAGCTAAGGTCACGAGCAAAGGTTTACAAGATTGGTTCTCGGAATTTAAGTCGCCCTCTAAAGGAAAAGAAAGGGCAGTCACCGGAGTATCATAATTTGTTACGCATGGGTCTTGTCGAATCAATTGATGGACTACAGTATACTAGAATGTCACTTGTACCTGAGACCGACTACACACCTTTTCCTGTTGGTTGGAGACCGGATCACGAGAAAGCGTTGCTTGAATATTTAAGGCTGGATGACCCAAAAAAACTCGAGGAGCAGCAGAGTTGCCTTAAAGATCAAGGTCTGATTTCACCGCAGGATTATGTTTCGATGCTAGTTTGGAATTACAAAAGGAATGCTGTTGCAGTTGATCGGCTTTCTTCTGTGTTAACTGGTGAGAACAGCATAAAGAGAGGAGCAGAATTCTTGTCAACATCAAATGACGAAAACAGCTATCAGAAAAATGCAAATGAAGAAGACAACGAAGAAAGGATTTCTGTGGCGCGGATGTAAGATAATGTAAGCGTCCTGTACTTTCGGTTGTCATGGTTCTTTCTTCTTCTTTGTGTATGATGACATTGTCTTTTAGAAAAGCACTAAACAGTTTTTAAAGCAATAACATATCCTGTTTTATAAGCCAAATCGGTAGAATACTGTATAATACTAATTTATCAATTTAAATTTGTTAATTTTGGTAATTGTCTATTGACATTCAAATATAATACAATCTAGCACCGTAAGAGGACACCATATGATCAAAGCATTGTAGAATGTCATACATAAAATGTCCCGACGTTAATCTGACTAAACTCGCATTGTACAAAATACTTTCACCTATATCTCTCTTCTCTATCCCCACCTTCATCAACATCGATGTGGATTCCGTTCGTCAGTCGGTGAAGTGGGAACAAAAGGAACAAAACCCCGTCCACCAAACACTGGGCGCATGAAAGTGTCATCAAACTTACGCCAATAGCGATGCACAGTGTGAGAAGGTGTCGTCAAAAGCATTCGTAGACTAGTAGGCGGATGTTCATCGCCCAAATCAGCTTCGGAGTCCTGTTGATGCCCGAGGAGTGGTACATTCACTGACCTTGGAGTATTAGGACCAGACGATGCAGCACTGCTAGACTGTTTCGGATGTGGTAGCAGAAGTCGTATAAGCGGCTGTGTCATTAAACCACATACCTATAAGGCAAAATGAAGTGAGCATGTATTGAAATGAAGTAAAAAAGGAGTGGAAACTAGGAGGCAGATATTCGTTACCACAGTCGAGAAAAGAACAACAGTAATAGTGCTGGTAATCATTATTGCGTGCGGTTGTAGTTGAGTATGCCCAGAACTCGAGAACTGTAAAACCGCAAAAAAGTTGTTTATAGGATATACTCTGAGTAGACGAGAATCTTCATCAATAAATATCAACACACGAAGAATTTATTAAAGAAAGAAATAAGGAAAAAAGAATATAGCAACTCTGCTCTGATATTTGGTTTAATATCCTTTTGACATCTTCAATAGAATTCATATTGTGAAACACATCCAGTTGTGGCTTAGATGGAGGTTGTCCACATGAAATCCACAAGTTCACCTTATTGTAAGCAAGGGCCATAGACACAGCACCCCTCATGAGTCCAGCCCACCATATTATCACCTATCAAAGGAGAAGAATGAATGTAATATTCACTTTGAATTAATTATTGGGCTTAAACTCAAGTGAAAGCAACTGCTTACTTGTTCCCTGAAGGTGATATGTTCATTCCGAGATTTCTTCGTTAAGTTAGTTAAGAATGATAACGTAAACACAAAAGCTGCTCTCCCTAACAAAACTAGGCACAGAAGTATGGAACTCACTGCAACTGAAGTCCCGGGACTGCAAAGAACCCAATTTAGAGAACATGAGAAAAAAATGTACACGGTATTTTTTTCATGTACTGCAGAAAATGTGTAAATCATTCGAATGATCTCTAAGGACGAATATCCACTCAGATCATTAGAAATAAAAACTAACTATAGACTGAATGTTGTCAGCATACCGGTCACTCACAAACCTCCACTTTTCAATGTCCAAGGCATCCATACCAACATAGAGGAAGATAAAAGTCTCAGCCACAAATGACAGAGTTGCAAAAGCATGCCTGTAAATTTGTCACATAAATTATTAATGCATTCATTGAGGGCTAGTCTCACACAAGTAAATGAATTTCAACGGTTTACAATCAAATTCTAGTGTAAACATACTTTGTAGTAATTCTTGAACTTTCAGTCACATTGTGCCAGGTGTAATGAGACATCACAATTCCACAGAAAAATACAGTGAGAATTCCACTCAGATAGAATAGCTGCATCAAATTGACGCGATTTATTGTATCCACAAAAATATGTATATGCCAATTGCATGCTGAAAAGAAAAATTTCTGAGTCGAGGAATCTTACTTCGGCTAGAATATATGATAAATATGCCATGAGAATCATAATCGCAACTTCACGATCCGTAGAGTGCCTGAATTACAACATAAGTTCTCCTCGAATTGCCATAGGTATATTTTCGACAAAAGATATTGCTAGCGATAATACCCAGAGAAGAGTAAAATTCAGGAATGAATAATTGACGTATAAATCCATGCATTTTAGACCAGAAAAGTAATGTTCAAAGAATTGTGATCATTCTAATGAGTGAGTCGTGTTATAAAAATGGAAGTATTTCTTATAAATTTAATATAAGGGATTCTGGCCCCTTGTAGAAGTTGCTGTTTTCCTCAAGCATCAAGTGTTTTGCTAACAAATATGTAAACTAGATAGAATTTCAATATTTTATTACTTACCATACAACCTATTTATACAATAAAGACTCAAACCTACAAGGGGGAGTAAGACAGAGGCTTTCACACTGTTATCTGTATCGTGAAAGGGGGGAGGAGAGGGTGTTGCATAACCTAATAGTCCTCAAAGTATGTTTCTATAGTGAATAAGGCTTCTATATATGTCAATAAGAACTCTGGGCTTTCTAAGCTTCTGTAGAACTCCTATTTGAAAGTCATATATATTTCCTTTCTTAGTCCCATACCATATATTTCTGTTTCTTTTACATTACAGACGTGAACTTTCTGATGCATAATGCTACCTATTATTTTATTCAAATATTCATTGTCAGCCTTTGACTTATTAAATTTATTAATTTAATTCAATAAATTTCATTCCTGTATTGATATAAAGAAAATCTAATATTGTGACAAAAACATTGCCTATGTTCCTTTTCGTCAATTAAAGAATCAATTCTATATCATGAAAAATGGAAACTTTCTAAAATTTTAATTTTTAGTACCTTCCGAAGTATAACTTTTTGATTATATAAGCACTGACAAGTCCAGCCTGCAGCAGAAATTAAAATGCCATATCAGAGAGAAAAGACCACATGCACATGCTTTCGTATGAGATTGATCCTGGGAGACGCTTACCAAAGCGCCAAGTAGCGTGCTTGCAAGAAATAAGTACAAGAAGCTTCCAATAAAGTGTAAAGAAATTGTAGGATCAATAGTTGTCATATCAGCGCTTTGAATGGCATTGAAAAGCACCACTGAAGTAGCATCATTCACTACACCTTCTCCAAATACCAAACTGTAAAGTAGGGGCGTCTCATCTTGACTTAGCACCTTATAGCATTAAAACAATTGTCATTTCAGAATGTGTGGTGTTCTCATAACATTGGAGTAAGCTTTAACATATTTTACCTGCAATGTGCAAACAGAATCTGTTGCAGCAAATATTGCACCAATTGCTGACATGATGGAGAAGTAAGGGAAACCCAAAAAAATTAGGTGGAGCCCCATCTAACACGTAAACAAGTGAAGCAATCAGAAGTTGCAAGGTCATACCTAGATAATCACTAATATCCAGAAAGCCGATTCCCAGGTTCCTAAAGAATAACACGGCACCTGAATCATACACAAGAGGATAAATAATAGAAGCAGAATGCATTTTCCATCAACACTAGATAATCCATAAAGTACTTAATCATCTCTCCTCTTTAGAAAGAAACTTAGGGCATGGCAGATGCCGCCACAGTTTTTTCAAGTTGTAAGTTATCATTTATTTACATTAATCTGTACAGTTAACCCTGATAATAGGAACTTCTTGTTTCTGATCAACATAAAAATATTAACTGTTCAATTCCTTCCAAAAAATTTAACATTTATGTCAGGTCAGGATAAGTTGAAGTACGCCACAAAAATCCAGATGTTTCATCCAATATAGGAACAAATCTCTCACAAGTGGTAGTTATGCCAAAGACACACACAACGATATGTAATTTATGAAAATGACAGAATTTCTATATTCTATATGTATATTTCAAGAGCTTAACATGAATGCTATCCACGTCAAGAACTTACAAAAGGCTTTGGTATGAGAGTATATACAACTAAAAGCAATATCTAACTTAGACGAACAAATGCAATATGAAGCATTAAAATTTTAAGAAGATAACTGAGTATCAAATGGAACTACAGGTGAAAAAATTGAATGTTACAAAGAAACCATTTTAATATTCTCTGACCAGAAAAATTGCTATAGCAGAACCAAATCATAAACGATAAGTGAAATCTTGATAGACACAGAATTTTGCAGGGGGTAAAAACAACATGGACAATGTAAAATAAAATAAAATAAAAATTTACCATATGACAGCACATGAAATTAGTGTACCAACAGCTCCAAACAACATTATAGTGATGAATTTACGGAAAAATTGTTTCTTCTTAACCTGGAACCTGGCAATGGAAGTAATAAAATTTTAAGCTCCTGAACAGATAATTTACTGGAAAAGTACGCAGGTTCTCTAACATCAGGCCCCCAACAAAAAATCATATTATAATACTGACGAAAACTTTCTTAGCAATCGATTTAGTAGATTCTCAAGATGATAAAATTGATTGTGAATTGGGAAAAGAAACTAGAAGGAACTAAACTCAGTTTTTAGAGTTCAAACTCTTAACCTGATCAACATCTATTTCACCACCATTACTACAGCTTGCATAACATCAAAATTCAAATAAAAGATCAAACCTTTTGAACTTATGCACTTAGCCTCATTTTACATGTCCTTCAATGGAATAGTTCAAATTGAACATTTTATAAGTGTGTTTCAAATTAAATAATTGAATCTCCATGGACAAAAGCATTTCTTATAATGATTCAAACAAACAAGAAGCATTGTAATTGCTCCAGATAGACATGTAACAACGCCATACACTCACTAGCAAAGTACCTTTTGGACAAGAAAACTATATAAAAGCATTCACCTTACCCAGCATTAAATATGATAGGAGGGAGAAGATATATGAAGAACAGATCCTCGCTGAAGACCAGGAGATGTGAGCTCTTGCCCCTACTAATCAACAATATAACCACTCCAGTACATAAACCCTGCAAGAATCCAAATTGAAAGTACATTCTGGTACCACAAACAAAGAATAGACGCAATTCGACATATGACAAAAAATTCATAGTAAGATAATAATTAGAATACAAATCCGTGTATCAGTACTTCAACAAACCAAAAGATAAAAAACATAATGATGTAACATATAAATTCTTCACCATATGTACTCAGGAAAAAATGAGAGTAAAAACTAACAATGATAAGGGCTGTAATTGATTCATTCATCCAACGATTCTCCTCCAGCAGATGGCCAATGACAATGCAGCCGCAGAGGAGGGCCACGAAGAGGTTCATTGACACAACGGATGCATGATCAGAAGTGGACAACATGTACAGTTTTTGCATCCAAGCACCCAATTCAGAAACCGTATCCATTTTGAGTGTATTTGAACCAAATTAATTAAAATTTTATCGTGTTTCCAGAAAGAGATAAATCAGCTTCAAGTCTTGATACTGTCTGCTTCGAAATTTATTCTTAAAACACTGCATGAAATTAAGCTTGATCGTTTGGACTACATTGAGATAAGAGCCACCACAATTTATTTATTTTATAAAATTTGCAGAAGATTCTGACACTTAAAAATGTTTAAAAAACATTGACAAAAAGTTCCTTGTACATAAATAATAAAAATTGAACAAGGAAATAAGAAGCAAGGTCGTTTATAAGGAATTTTTTACTAAAGCACGATCATTTCTTTTTAGGTAGAGAAAATAGAAAAAATAGTGTGAAAATTGATTCAATCTCGCTATTGAAATCCCAAGAAACAAAAACTGGGTATGACTCTCTCCTGATCACCCGTGATCGCAGTGATGATTCAAAAGAAAAAAAATCAGAAAAAGTAGGATAAAGCGGTTGTTGAGGTGAAATTTCTGGAGAGTCACGGAAATTCCCGGAAAATTGTGATCCTCTACTCATATTTCCATTCATATGATGATGAAATCGGGCCATTGAATGGCGTGAAAAGTGGGAGGAATCGAAGGAAAAAAAAGTAAATTGAGGTTTCGCCATTTTTTGTTCCACGGTCCCTCTTATTTCGAATTGCTTGGCTCGCGTTTAAAATATTTTCTTACATTTTCAATTTCAATTATGCTAATTGTACATGAAATGGTATATAAATGATTACATAAAATGATGTGATAGAAAAGAATTGGAAGAAAAGTTGACCATATTTTAAACTGACAAATGATAGAATGACATGTGACAATATATAATTCATTATGTAAAGTTTGATATACATACAAACCTTTAATTTATGTTAAAACTCTACTTTATGGTATTTTTTAGTAGTGTTAGACTTTAATTCCGTTTGTCTTACTAAGATTTTTGGGTTCCCTATAAATAGAACTCATTATTTATATTGTAAACAACTTTATTCATACATTAATTTGAAAGATTACTTCGTAAGCAATTTGCTTTTCATGATTTGTTATTCATTGAACTAATTTTGAAGTTATCAAGATTTGTTTCTTGTACCGTTCAAATAATCCGGGCGAGATTCTCCAGTCTTGTGATCGTGGGATCAATATATTGTCGATGATTGTATTAGTTCTTTGGTTCGCTTAGGGACCTCGATTGCTAGGTGTGCACTTAGTGTAATTGAATTTCTGGTTATGTATATCCTTATTAATTATTTTGGTTTTGTGAGGATTGGTTGGTCAGTTGTATTTGTCTGGTGCATGGCTTGTGTTTTCGGCTTAGTATTTTAGGATCTGATTGTTTCGCGTACGCTTTATATTGTTATGTTTGTTGGCCCGTGTGAGGGGAGGCTGTCTTGGGTGTGGACCTCGAGACCTTGCAAATGATCCATTACACATGAAAAATCCAAACATATGCATAATTAAGTTTTAACAAAAAATTTGGGAATAATAAAAATTTCGACTTTTTATCTTTTTATTTAAATTATTTCACAAAGACTTTTGAGATAACAGAAGAAGTGAAGATTGATCATACCAACGCAATTACCACAAAATATACAGATTCCAAAATCAATACTGTAATTAAGTAATTGTTTCTTTTGAATATCTGTTTCCAATTCCAATCAACAACGGGTAACTTTAGAGATGCATGCTACTCTTGGAAAAATTGAAATAGAATAATACGTTATAACAACTAATAAAATCTCATTTTATTTTTAAAGTTATTACATACTTGAGTTTACATTGAAGTAAGAATAATATTTTAGAATTTAGAATTGTATAACTAAGCCTAATTTCACTTTTATGATTTTATTCAATTATGATTATGACTTGATTTGCATTCATTATTGACTATGCCAATATTGATATACCCGAGGAATTTATTCCCGAGGACTCAATACATACCCCCACCTCATTTCTCTTCTTCGGTCCTCGAGGTCATCTAAGTCCTCGAGATATTGTAGTCCTCGAGATACCTCGAGGACACTTTTACATTCCCTCAATGTCCTCGAGAATAGTCCTCGAGACATACACCACCAACATACCTCCTAAGACCTGGGTACCTAACTAACAAACCTAAACACCCAAGGATTCTACATCAACCCTAACACCACTTGTCAAACAATTCCATTACAAGTAGGACATTCTTTATAATAGAAATTCCCTTGGATAAAAACATCCAACCAACACAATCCTACTAGGAGTACACTACCTACTCCTATAAAAGCAGAACCTTGGGCCATTATTCAGGTACGTTTTCTCATTGTTCTTCAGCATATAGCCTCACGCATATATTTTCCTTTCTGACTTAAGCATCGGAGGGGCGACGAGAACACACCTCGTTGCCTTTGTTTCAGGTATCGGAAGATCACGTTCGTGCTCCTCACCAGTCATTAAGCTCGGGAAATCTACAGGTACGATTTTTGGTAGCATCAATTATAATTATACAAGTATGAGACAAATTACATTGACCATATTCCATTTTGGGGTTTGGGGCAGGGAGATATTAATTGTTTAATATTTGACTTTATTGTGAAAATAAGAATCAACAGTCAACTATTGATTGGGAGCATCTCCCACCAGTTTTAAAATGATTGTGAAGTGCTAATCTGATGTGAAATTGATACTCCAAAATTAGACTTCAAAATTTCACATCAAATTAGAATAATGAACAATATTGTACCAAATTTGGTAAACCGATGTTCATTTCGTGTAATTTATACAATTTTTATTATTTTTTTCTGTCATTTATTTTATATTTCATTGTGAAAAACATCATTTTTACCACTTTTTAATGTAAAATGACCTATATACCATCCTATTTAAATAAAACAAAAAGAAAAAATAAATAAATTAAAGAACACATTGCAATTATACTCCCAAACTTTTAAAAAATCGTAAATGAGTCCAAATGAATTGTTAAAATGGTAATTAGCACAAAACACCCCTACCTCTCAATATTATTATGCAAAACGTCGTTGCCTTTTATTTTCTAGAATGTGATAATTAGTACAAAACGTCCTTACGTTTAGCCTATAGTGTACAAAACGTTTATATGTTTCAAATTTTTGCATTTTCACTTCGTTTAATAGTACAAAACGTCCTTACATTTTGCCTGTAGTACGCAAAACATCTATACATTTCAAATTTTTGAATTTTCACCCATATTTCCACGTTTCACAGCGGAAAATGTCATTTTTACCAGTTTTAATGTAAAATGAGCAATTTACTCTTCTATATAAATAAAACAAAAAATAAAGAACAAATCCTTATTTGCATTTGCAAGTTGGGTTCATATTTGTGAGTTGCATCCGTATTTGCACAAAACGTCCCTATATGGACTCACGAGTTAAGAAAAATAAAGAATCAATATACCCTCATATTTAATTTTTCTTTTCTTCTCTTATTTTATTTAAATAGGAGAGAATATATGTCAATTTTTTTATTGAAAAATTGGATGAAAATGACATTCTTCCACAATGAAAGGTGACAATATGGATGAAAATGTCAAAAAATGAAAGGTAAGGATGTTTTGTACAATAACATTGAAACTTATGGACGTTTTCTGCTAATTACCATATTTCAAAAAATAAAAAGTAGGGACATTTTGAACAAAAATATTGAAAGGTATGGTCATTTTGTGCTAATTACCATTTTAATTATTCATTTGGACATATTTGCAATTTTTAAAAAAGTCTCGGAGTATAATTGCAATTTGTTTTTTAATTTATCTTTTTTTAGTGTAAATATGAGGGAATATTGGTCATTTTACATTAAAAGTTGTTGAAAATGACATTTTTTGCAATGAAACATGAAAATAGAGGTGAAGATGCAAAAATTTGAAACGTATAAATATTTTGCACACTAAAGACCAAATATAGGGACATTTTGTGCTATTAAGCCAATTCAAAAAGTAGAAATTTGATAATTACAAATTAAAAAGAAATTAGCACTACAACAATATAAATATTATTAAAAACAGAAATTTAAAATAAAATATAAAATAATCTAAGACAGTAATTTAGTATTCAAGTAGATCATTTTTGAATCCTTGAAGGTCATCGAAATATTGATCAAAAGAACTAGAGGAACTTTGAGATCTCTAACTTCGTTGTTGAGTTATTTTTTGCATATTTCTTGTATGTTCATTTGAAAAAACTCACGTAAATTTGATCCATTATGAAATTTAAATCTTTTGGTAAAATTTTATTATTTTTCTCGATTTTCTATTTACTCATTTATTTAAAATTGATTGCATTTTTCACTAGGGGTGGGCGCGGGTCGGTTCGGTTCGGTTCTCTTTAGAACCGAACCGAACCAAACTTTTCGGGTATCTAGTAAATGGAACCGTCGGGTCCAAATATAATTATGGAACCGTTCGGGTTCGGTTCCATTCGGTTCGGTTCGGATCGGTTCGGTTCGGTTCCGTTCGGTTCTGTACTATAATTAAAATTTTTAACATTTATAATAACGTTATATAAATACGACTAATGATACATTCAATAGTTTTGGAATGTCAGAGATTAGTAAACTATCTTGTTCAAATGATCGCTACGATCAAAGCTTCAGTCGGGGAAAGTCACGGCTTCGATCGGAGGTCAGAGTGTCGGCCGACGATTGTATAGGTTTTGGAATATTAGATAGGCTGCGAGAGTGAGTGCGAGAGTCGAGACAACGTTATGCACTTTATTGTAGGTGCTTAGGGTTATTTAGTGGATTTGATTTGTTTGGCTAAGAAATGAAACAATAAAATGGGTAATGGCCAAAAATTAAAAAATTAGAAATGAAACAAATTATTGGGCCAAAAATTTGGATTTAGAAATCATTAATTTGTTAATTTGTTTAGAAAAAATTAAAATTAAAATAATTTGATTTACTCAATATAAAAAAAAAATTAGAAAGATTCGGTTCTTATTCGGTTCTTCGGTTCTTGGTCTAGAACCGAGAACCGAACCGTACCCGTCGGTTCTCAATTCAGATACCCATTCGGGTATTTAATTTGACAAGAACCGTCGGGTTCGGATCGGTTCGGTTCGGGTTCGGTTCGGTCCGGGAGATTTGCCCAGCCCTATTTTTCACATTGTCATTGTTCAAGTACCCATATGATGAAATTTGTAATTGTATATTACCCTTCACTACATCTCAAACAAATAAAATATGGACACTAATATTTTGAAGGAAAAATACAGACATGAATAAATGACCCTTTTTAAATTCATGTAATTACCCTCCGTTTTTTTAATAAAAACTGCATTTATCTCAAGCATGTTTGGTGCACTATATTAGGTATGAATAATTTTTAATTTATACGAAGTTCGATATAAATAATATGCAGATTAATATATAATCCATTACACGATAACACAGTAAGGATATCCATAATTATTAATTGATAATAATCGTAAACTATTCAAATGGTATTATGGGGTGTGGGGCCAAGCCCGAGGTAGTGTCTGGGCCGAGACCACCGCTGAAGGCAGGATTGGGAAAGCACGTTTACAATGTTCCATGCAGTTACATTGATTTAATTTCGGTGAAACTTTAAAACATTTACAATCTATGATTGTAGGATACCATTTCTTCCCT